AGGATGCAGTCTGGTAGACAAGATATACACTAAGAAAATTAAATAGTTCTTGTCAGTATAAGCATGCATGTTAATGACAATTAACATCTTCTGTTGGCAAATATGGCAGGATAATATTTTAATATATTAACCGATGTTTTCTTTTCTCAGTAATTCTTGTTACCTGTGAACTTTTTCTCATACAGGCTTTCTTGGCACACTGCCTCAAGACAGGATTATACTACAGAACAAAAGAGGCAAATTCTTGGCTTCTGAATTTTAAAATCTGGAATCTTAGCAAAAACAGTATATTTGGAAGGAAAATAGATTGGAAGTGGTCAGAGTCAGTTTTTTCCACCCCTAAAAACAAGATAATACTAGACAAAACTGGGGGAGAAGAGAGAACAAAAGTAAGAGTCAGACCCTTGAATGGGTCACTGACCAGAGGCCTGTGTTCCAGCCTCTCTGCCCGGCCTCAGAAGGGGTTATATTCTGACTGAATTCCTGGTGGAGAGACAACAGGATTGGGGGAATGTGAAGGGAACCTGTGCCCAGCACTCCCACCCCATCTTCCACTGTTGCCTCCAGGCTCAGGTAAAGCCTCAACAGACCTCAGACCCTTAGGGTCACTCAAAAGCATGTTGTAGAGACCGCAGAAAAGAACGACGGCTAAGAAAGCATATCTAGACAGAGAGGATCCGAGACAGCCTGAAAGTTCCCCACATGCCCATGGAGTTCACGAACAGAACTAAATATTTTCCAAGTGCCCAAAAGAAATAGCTGAGAGAGACCCAGATCTGAAAGATTTTGTGGCCAAGGATTAGAAAGACACAGCAGTGACCTCTGTGGACCAATCACCAAAGGCACTGCAGGATGATGTTCAATTCAGCTGACACCAGCATGAACTGACGAGAACCCTGAGGACTGAAGTCCACCCCTCAATCTTCTCTCCACATATCCCATGCCAATGTACCCTGCAAGTCCTCTAAATAAATACAAACACTCCAAGTTCATGATCCTATACAAATACCAACCCCAGAAAAGAAGTCACTATGCTCCTCACAAAGCCAGCCCCATCCATCCATTTTGAACCAGCTTCTTTCAGAAATATACTCTCAGGCCTCAGTTAAATCCCCTGTGCCATAGGTACAAATACTTTCTTGCTACATCTTAGGAAAGAAAGACCAGGACAACATAGTCTGTGTAATAGCCACAATGCATCAGAAGAACTAAAGCCTCCAGTGATGCTAGGTTCCTGATACATAAAATATCTCCCTTTTGAGATCAGATACTAAATCGAGATCCTGAACAGGGAAGTGGTAAGAAGTTTGCCTTCTAAGGTCTTCTCCTCAGTTCCCTAGATGGCCCTTTTCCACCTTAGTTGTATTTAATGCCCTGACCTTCTTGCAATGTCCTCTCAGCATATTCCCATTGCAGCTTGAAATTCATTCAGTATAAAGGGACTCGTAATAGTTTGAGGTTTAACTCCTTTTCCTTCTTTGTTCTCCACAGCAAATCAGTTGATAAATCTAGCCCCTTGCTATGTCTCCTCTCCGTTCCTTTACCAGGAAATGCTGTTCTCTCAATATTCCACTACTCCTTAGACCAGGCATGTGATAGAATTGCCATTCCCCTCCTGGCTGAAATTGATCATGGCCAGCCATGTGACTTGTTTTGGCCAACAAAATGTGGACAGGAGTGACATCTGTTGCTTTGAGTGGAAGCATTTAATTGCAGTATGAGGCACTACAACACTCTTCCTCTTGCCACTAGAACCAACAACACTGCAGACGGTAGAGAAGCTGTCAACCTGATTCCCAGAGTAAGGAAGCCCTAGCCGATGTGCAATGCACATGTAATGTGAGCAAGAAATAAACATTTGTTAGAAGTTACAGGTTGTTACTGCATCATAATCTAGCCCGTCCTGACTACCTGGGCTATTGCTGGGGTTCAGACTCTCATCGCGTCTCATCTGAGCTCTAACGTTACTCAAAAGTGTGATTCACACACAGGTGCCAGTCCACAAAATACTGCTGACGTGCAATAAGTATGTTTAGAAATTTTTTTAAACAATTTCACTGATTTTGTTTGTTGAATATAATAATAAAATATTTGGACTTAGATATTCCTCCAGCATCTAGCACTGTGCCTTGCCCATGGAGGCGCTACAAGTGTTTGTCAGATTTAAGTTGAATCAAAGTTTTACGATTAAGAATTACGGTAGGATTTCAAGCAATATCAAGAAGATTTGGGAGATATTTGGGGTGCAGAATCCTTCTTCGTTGAGATGAAACCATCATTTAAAAGTTCTCTGCATCTACTCTTTGTGACAGCATTGACAGCATAAAATTTAGCTCTGACGAAGAGAGAAACTTTCTGAGCTCTTTCTCATTTAATATTGTTTTAGGTTTGCCTACATAAAAGCATGGGCATGAATGTATATGTTCTTCAGAGTAAACCTCTGTAAATATATTACCGATGACATATGGATTTCCAAATTATCCACAAACAGTTTGACATTTTGATACACTTGTTTGAGAATGTAGAAGGATAAAACAACTGATCCCTAAATCACTTCCTAACTCCCTTCAGGACTAAATAAGAGTTTTGTTCCCCTCCCCTCAAAGGCTCTTTGACATACATTAATATATTTCTTTGTACCATACAAGAGACAGCATGGTATTCTGAAAAGAACAGTGGACTAGGTGTCAGGAATCCTGGTTCTAATCCTCATTTACCCACTACTGCGTGAGCAATTACTTAACCACTTGGTGCTGTAATTTCTCCATCTATTAAATGAGGATAATAATACAAGTTAATAACATCAGCTCTCTTGTGAGAATCAACATAAAGGGTATGGAAGCTCTTGATAGCAAATAAAGTTCTACACAATAGTAATTTAGTATTTATATATAATACTGCCTTACAATGCTCTAAAATTGTTTCCTATACATGGATGTTCTCCTCTCTAACTAGACAATAAGCTCCTTGAGAGGTGCACTGTGCAATATTTCCTTGTGTCCTATCCACTGTCAAGCCCTTGGGGACAATTAATACATACATATGGATTATTTGAAAACTATTTAACCAGAAGGTTTTGAACCTCTTTACCCTTAAGTAAACTGCATAAACTACATAAAATTCATAAACTGTGTGATGAGTATTCCTCTATTCATACAGACTACATGCTTTTAGAGTTTGGGCTATGGGGAGTTATAACTGGCTAGCTGAGTTCCTCGAGGGCAGAGGTCATGCCTTATTCATCTTTGTATCCCTAGCATATATCACAGTATCTAGGCACAAAGAAGGAGCTCAGTTAATGTCTAAAGATAAATTGATAGATGAAGTGAACTTTAATTAAATACTTCCTAATATTACCTGAAACCTAAAATGCCAACCTTTGATTACAGTTAAATTGGTTTGGGGGAAATTTTCCAGAATCATCTAAACATTTATAAAAGCACGCTCACCCAACAGACATGTGATTTTTTCCATCCTCTTTCCTTACTGAACACAAGCAATTCTTACCCAAAGGTCATTAAGAGGATTAGGCTGGAGGAGTGGGAGTGGTAATGAACAGAACAGCTATCGGCCAGAAAGGGAAAACTGTACTATTATTTGTTCAGAGGATACTACATTATTCTGCATATCTAAACAGTCAAGGTAAAATATGACAGATGAATAAAGAGCTTCTGTACAGAAGAACTATAAACTTTGGCAAGAACCACTATATTGCAGTAAAAAGGCCCCCCGCTGTGGGCTGCAATGGAAAAAGTGACCTCAGAGAGGAATTCAGAACAGAATTGTTGAGAAAGAGAAGATGAAGGACCACAACATTTTGGTTAAGTCATTTGGTTTCAGGCTTATAAAAGTGTAAAGCTGTTCTGGCCAAAAAAATACAAATTACATGAACTTTATAAAAACCAAACCTATTGCTGTCAAGTCGATTCATATGACAGTGACCCTATAGGACAGAGCAGAACTGCCCCATAGAGTTTCCAAGGAGCAGCTGGTGGATTCCAACTGCCAACCTTTTGGTTAGCAGCCGAAGCACTTAACCACTGGGCCACCAGGGCTCCCTGAACTTTATAGAAAACTACTATTCTAACTGTAGATCAGAATTCCAGAGTGCCTTTGCCCTCATATTCTTTACAAGCCATCTACGGTGTTTAGGAACACATTCTTCTAGAGAGGCCCAGGCAGGGGAAGCAAAATTGGTCAGCCTGAGGCCAATGGATTAAGACTACCCAATGCTCCACTGAGCCATCCCAGGCAAGAAGGAGTAACGAATAGGGACTACAGAAAAGAAAAGGGAGGTCAGCACCAGAGAGAAGTCAATTGCCCACCCTTTCCCTCTTTCCTGTCCCCATCTAGAGAGGGCTCTCTTTTTATAGAAAAGTTCATATATACTACAGCACCGATTTACATCTCTCACCGCCAGTATTTAGCCAGAACAGTGAGTGTTTCGGAGCTGGGATTTCTCGTTATTTCTGATCCTGAAACTCATTTCATAAAGGAAGGAAAATTTGAAATGTATAATTTCATATGGAAATGAACCAAATCAGCCTAGGAAAAAAACACCTCCCAAAATAGCTTTCATTTTTTAAACATAAATCCCCATTTTCAACAAAGCATGAATCAAATCACATATTTAATGTCAGTAGTGTAATTTTAGAGCCACAACAGAAAGAAAAAGGGGGTGGGAGCACATAAACTTTATTTTTATTTATGCTATTTCCCTCAGATTGAAAATCAATTTTCAAGAGCACCAATTCTCAAGCTTATCTGCGCAAGTCTGAAATTTTGTGCTTATCCAGCAGTGCCCTCTGGTGTCCAAATGGATCATTTCAATTTGCCTTCAGGCGAAAAGTAAGTACATACACACATATATACATTTGCATATATATCAGACAAGTCTACAATCAGAAAACACTTGGACTGCAGCCTTACAGAGGGTCAACTAACCTGTGCCCAAAGTCCTAACCCACAAAAACTGTGACAGAATAGTGTGAGCTGTTTTAAGCTGCTAAATTTGTGTAATATTATCACACAACAGTACATTCCTAATACATATTTCAAGACACTTCTTAAATTTTAAAACATTTTTATTATAAAAGTAACACAAATAGGGTAAAGAAAAACTGAAATATGGGGAAAAGACAAAGTCATCCATTTACTGGCCTGCCATCCTGCTACAACCGATGTTAGCAATTTGACTTACTTTGTCATCTTTTTATTTTATGCTTGGTGTAACATTTAGAGCCATAATCATACCAATTCATACATTTCTGTATCTTGATTTTTCACTTAATATAACACTTTCTCATGTTTCTACATCATATTCATTACTAATTTTTAATGAGTGTACCTCTCTCTCTCTCTATGTATATGTTTACTCACTATTTCAGTAGACCAGGAGTTGCTCAATGGACCAAATTTGGCCCAGGATCTGTTTTGTACAGTCCACAAGCAAAGAACAGTTTTTACATTTTTAAGGGTTGTAAAGAAATAAGAATATGTGATAGACTGTATAAGGCTCACAAAACCTAAAATACTTACTACCTAGCCCTATTAAAAAAAGTGGATGACCCTTGCCCTTAGACCAGTGGTTGGAAAATTATGGCTGTGCATTCATAAATAAAGTTTTATTGGCACAAACGCACATCCATTTGTTTTCATATTGTCTGCGGCTGCCTTCACACTACAAATGACAGAGTTGAGAAGTTGTGGCAGATACTGTATGGCCTGCAAAGCCTAAACTATTTACCACCTGGCTGTTTACAGAAAAAGTTTACTGATACTGGCCCTAAACTTTTAAGTGGTTTATATCTGGATCATGTGCATCAATTTTTCATACTTTGGACAACTTAATTGGGAGAGATTAACAAAAGTGGAATAACAGTCTAGTTAATGAAGGTATTATTAAGGCTGATACTGTCCCACACTATCTCTTGTAATATTCTAGGTATTATATAATAAAGACAGCCCTGGTGGCACAGTGGTTAAGAGCTCAGCTGCTAACCAAATGGTTGGCAGTTGGAATCCACCAGCTGCTCCTTGGAAACCCTATGGGGCAGTTCTACTCTGTTCTATAGGATCACTATGAGTCAGAATTGACTCAATGGCAACGGGTTTGGTGTTTTGGTTTTTATATAAAAAGGGTGGTGGCTATAAAAATGGAAAGGAAGACCCAGTACTTCTCTGGTCCTATTAATCTAGTCATGTAAGTTTATACTCTGGATGAGCATAGTAATTGGAATATGAAAACCAATTGAAAGAAATCTTTTACTTTCTACTGTGGGATGCATAAGCAGACAGAAGTAAACTCTCTAAGTGCCAAAGTGTACATGAAATGTCACTCCAGGCTAGTTGTAGTGGCCAAAAGGCTTTGGGAGAGTTGAGTAAAGGAAAGAGGTGGCAGACTCAACAATGAGCCAGCAGTGGCGTCAATGAACAAAGACGCAGCTATGAGTGTGAGATGACAGAAAAAACAGGTGTTCCACCTTTCTGAACACATCTTTGGCATAAACCTATTTACAACTGTAATTAAACTGTCTCCAGATAAGAAAGTTCTAGAGCAACTATCCTATATTTTTTAACAGAAAACATCCTTCTATCTGGAAACATTTATTCTTCAGAAAGAAAACTTACGGAATGGACCAGCTAAATCAACCCTGACTGTCTCTGAGATGAAAGATAAAGCAAGCTGATGGGTCTCAAATCCAATCTTGTATGAACAAAGTATCAGGAAGTACAGCTGTCATCTTCTAAGTGAAATATTCTGCAACATAAAAAAAAAAGATCAAGATGGACCTTTTCCCCAGTAAATAATGTAACTTAAGAGCAACATTAGAAAGGCATTTAATATAAATCTCCCAATTATAACAAAATATGTAAAAAAAAAATCATATATACTTAGTTAAAATGTACTTGTCAAAATGTCAACCAATTTAATATTTCATGAAGAAGTATTCTTTAGGTTAAAACTATTATTAATCTTTATGTTTCACCTCAGTTACTCGTTAAATAATTGAATACATAATTACTTCATGAAGTACTCTGCAAAACTATGGATTTCTCCACAGTGGAATCAAATTATTTTTGCAGAAATAACTAGGAACATATTACTTTGAACGAAATATAGCCAGTTTTCTGAGATATGAAAATAAAACCATTTTTTCTTGAATTTCTTCACATTGTGAAGTAGTAGCTCTATCAGTGGCTTGATTCACATTTAAAATCCTCATACTTTCCTCCTTTTTTCAGTTTTCTGTCAGTTACCTCAAAACTGACCTGAGGGTCGGGCAGCATAAATCCGTCAGTGAGCTTGTAATAGACTATGGTGGAATCAGACTCCACTATGGCCAAAGTAAATGACATCGGCAAATCTGGGTCACCTTGCAATTTTCGAGATGCCTTTAAGATCTCCCTTATCCTGAAAATAAAGTCACAATTCATTTAGGAGTCATAGAATCAGTCAGTTAATGATAAAATCAAATAGTGTAATATCTGGGAGGAGGTAGGCAATTACATTTGTAGTGGGTTGAATAGTAACTTCCAAAAAGATAAGTCCAAGTCCTAATCCCTGGTACCTCTGAATGTGACTTTATCTGGGAATAGGGTCTTTGCAGATGTAATTAAGTTAAAAATCTTGAGATGCGATCATCCTGGATTTAGGCTGCGTCCTAAATCCAATGACAAGTGTCCTTATAAAAGAAAGAAGATTTAAGACACAGAGGGGAAGGCCGTGTGAAGATGAAGGCAGAGGTGGGAGCGACGCGTCTACAAGCCAAGGAACAAGAATTGCCGGCAGCTAGGAGAGAGGCATGGAAGAGATCTTCCCTCAGAACCTCTAGAGGGAAACAACCCTACTTGATTTCAGACTTCTGGCCTCCAGAACTGTGAGAGAATAAACTTCTGTTGTTTTAAGCCACCTAATTTGTTATGACAGCCCTAGGAAACTAATATACATCGTATCTATAATGCTAGCTAAGGAAATCTCTGAAGGCTCAACTATAAACATTTAAAGCTGTCTTGTCCATAGAAAGTTCTGCAAATAAGGATGTCTTAGTTACGTAGTGGGTGACTTTAAAGAACATAAATTTATTTTCTCACAGTTCAGGAGGCTAAAAGTCCAAATTCAGGGCATGGCTCTAGGAGGGGGTCTTTCCTTGTCTATTTGAGCTTCTAGTAGCTGCCAGCAATCCTTGAAGATGTAACTGTCTCTAAGGTATGTCTCTTCCTCTTCTTGTGTGTGTCTTTGTGTCCATTTTACTCTTTTGATAACCCAGAAGTGATCAGATTTAGAAGTCACTCTACTTGGGTATGGCCTAATTAACATAACAAAGAAAACCCTATTTCCAAACAGGATCATATTTATAGGTATAGAGGCCAAGATTTAATACATATTTTAGGGGAACACAGTTCAATCCACAACAAGGGCTATCTACTGACCTTCAGTCCTTTTTTGCATTCACTCATCTCTCCAGATCATCATACCTGAGAGAATCAAACTGTATTTAAGAACCTACAGAATGGGAATGAAGGGACACTACTGTATTTTTACAGAAATAATGCATGTATTATAAATTTTATTGCCAGCCATGCCCCCCTCCGCTAGGTATTTTCTTAAGCATACTATGCTAATTTTTTTTACAGCAACATGTAAAAAATTAGTATAGTACTCTTACAAAAATACCACTTGGGGGAAGGGTGCCGTATAAAAATATTTACTTGCATAAAAATATGGTAATAGTGTTCAGTGCATCTAAACTGGCTAAGGGCTCATGCTGTCCATTTTCCAACTTCCAAGCTTGGCATCTTATTGTGAATCATAATTTGGTAGTGTGTTCTAGGTTGGTTTTTTTTAAATAAACTATAGTAAGCATCTCCCCCATGGTTTTTATAATGGTTTTAATGGCTAATATTCCATTCAGTTGACCAAATTTTACCCAATCTTTCTGCTACTGCTGTACAGTTCTTTCAATTCGGGGAGGTGGGGGTGCTAATAAAGATAAGCTGCAATGATCATCTTCCTGCATATGGTTGTTTCTTTTTTTGCTAAATTATATATGAAGGAATCAATGTTATAAAGGATTGGATTTCAGTTTGCTTGCTGTGGAAAGTAATGTACCAAATTTAATATCTAGGACTTCAAAACACTATTAATTTTTGTTTACATAAACTAAAAACCTTTATTACCTACTCAAAGCCTGGGTTCAATAATTCAGTGAAATATAACCTCCAGAGAAGCTTTCTTAAAAAGGCAAATAAAAAAATGATCAGTTTTTTTTTTTTTTTTAATTAAGCCAACCAATTCTCCAGAAGCCGGAAAAAGATTTACTAGCATATTAATATTCTACAGCTGAATACACAAACAACTTAGCGAAAGTGCTATTTATCCTCTTAAATCTCTACTTCCCAACCCTAAGTCAAAACTCTTTGCTCACTCTTCACTCATCCTATTAGGCTACTGAATATAAAAAGAAAAGTCTCTGCTTTGAAATATTCTTACCACAATTATTATAATACTTTTTTTAATCTATAGCAGAGACTGCGGATTTTAAGAGTGATTTAAAATAGCACTAAACTTCTGAAAAGCTGAAACCAATTTTTTCTTGCTATCCCTTAATCGCCGCATAATATGTTGTTGTTGCTGTTAGCTACCATTAATTCAGCTCCCAACTCATGGTGACCACATAAACAACAGAACAAAATACTGCCCAGTCCTACACTAACCCCATGATCAGCTGAAGACTGAACCATTGTAATCTGTAGGGTTTTCAATGGCTGATTTTTGGAAGTAGATTGCCAGGCATTTCTTCCTAGTCCAACTTATTTTGGAAGCTCCGCTGAATCCTGTTCCCCATCATAGCAACACACAAGCCTCCACTGACAGAAGGGCTGTGGCTGTGCATGAGGTGCACCAGCTGGGAATCAAACCCAGGTCTTCTGCATGTAAGGCTAGAATTCTACCACTGAACCACCACTGCCAAAGCGATAATTGGTTTGTTAAAACACCAGTCACAAAAAGCTACTTATCCACTACCTATCATTTAAGTTTATATAGGCATATAATTATTTTTGGAGAGAATGAGTAAGTTTGTTTCCTCACATTCAAGCCAATTCTAAAGTGACTATAAATGAGTTGAGTCAACAATATAGTAATACTTCAGTTATCAAGCATAAGTGTCAGGCAACATTTACTGGATAAATAAAATCTGTCTACCTGGCAAAATCTTAATTCCTTTTCAGGAGTTGGCAAAGCTTCATCATGTCTCTGAAGTATTCCCTCCCACCTTTCCCCAGCCTCTACACAAAGGGAGGTGTCCTACCCTACAGCAGCATCAGTGCAAACCTACATTACAGCAATCACTGTGTATATGTTTATATAGTTAAGTGTCTGTTTTCCACTGGATTGTAGTAAGCATTTTGTAAGTGAAACCTTTTTTTTTAAATTTTACTGATGCCCAATGCCTAATACAGTACCTGGGCAGAATGAATAAAGCTTTTTTCAGTGAAGGAGGTTTCCAAGTAGTTATGACTCTTTAGTAAGTAAACTTTAAATTTATGTTTCTGACAGTTTTCTAAAATTTATTACATAACTCTCTAGTACATTAAACAAAAGTTAAACTTGTCCTGATAGTTCATGATCATCGGGATTTGGTATTATTACTGTAGATACAGTGGTAGCTGGTAGGGGACGTGGGACCAAAGAAGTCCTATAGATCCTAGAACTTAATTTTTTAAAAGTACGTGATATTTGCTTGCTCTTCTCAATTATTTTATCACTTATCTATACCAGGAATTGGCAAACTACAGTCGCCTATTTTCTTTTATGGCCCATGAGCTAACGATGATCTTTACACCTTTAAATGGTTACATTTAAAATATGGTCTCTATTTTGCCACTTGGCCCACAATACCTAAAATACTTAACTATCTGGTACTTTAAGAAAAAAATGTGCTGATTCTTGTTTTACAGCATGACAAGGGTTAAAAATATGAATTGTAAGATATGATTACCAGGGAATAGTACTTTTTTTTTTTAAATACTGATTCAAAAGTCAAAGCAGGAGGTTTCACTTCTAATGAGGATATAGAAGATCTCAAAAGACCACCATTACTACCATAACAAAGAGAAAACACCTGATCAACTTAAAATATCATATTTTTCTTTACAGTCATAAAAGAGATGCGAACTCAAAACAGTCTAAAGCAATGAAATTTGAATGAGAAATGAGTCTTTTCTAGATAAGCAGAGACCTACTGATAGACATTTCCATCTCTGAGAATAATTGCTAAGTCTGGGCACATGTGGCTGGAGCAAGCCTCCTAAAGACAAGCAACTTTTCTGGGACAAGGAGAAACCAGCAATACTTCTAACAATCACACATGAATTGCCTGGTGGATTAGAATCTGGAGGGATGTCAATCTTTCCAGTCCACCAATTCTCCCCTATGGGCTTTTCCTGCATAAGAGATCCCAAGAAAAACTGGGGGAAGGGCTGGAATATAGCAAGAGATGTGTAATCACAAAGCCCTGCTGGAGTGAGAAGCCTGATTCTACTCTCAAGAGAAATCAGAAGAGAACTGAGATAACTAATACTACAACTTAGCCCTGACCCTGAATAGACTGATTAAATCAGGGCCCATCCTACCTGCCAGATCCAGAAAAGCAAGAGCCCTTTGTGGGAGGGGATATTATTCACATCAACCTTTATTTATATAATGTCTGCAGAGAAGCAGGAAAATATATCTAATAATCAATAGGAAAAAGTCAATATAAGAAGACCATCAGAAAACCAAGGATGTTGAAAAAAAATATTGGAATTAATAAAGACTCTAAAATAACTATTATAAATATGTTATAGTATTGTGGAAAGAACACAAAATGGGTGACAAGATGGGAAACTTCAGCAGAAAAATGGAATTTCTTTAAAAAAAATGAAATGAATTAAAAAAATATAATTTTATTTTTAAAAATGTAGGAGTCCCTGGATGGCACAAATGGTTAAGTGCTCGACTACAAGCCAAAAGGGTGATGGTATGAACCTACCCAGAGACCTCAGGAGACAGGACTGGCAATCTGTTTCTGAAAGGTCGCAGCCTTGAAAACCCTATGGAGCAGTTCTACTCTGCACACATGGGGTTGCCATGAGCCAGAACTCTGTGTAGCAGTCCTACTCTGCACACGTGGGGTTGCCATGAGCCAGAACTCTACGGAGCAGTTCTACTCTGCACACATGGGGTTGCCATGAGCCAGAACTCACTCATCAGCAACCAACAACAACAAAAGGCCTAACAAAAATGTATTGGATAGGCTTACTGTCAGAAGAAAGAATTAGTTAACTTGAAAACAGGTCACCAGAAACTAAATTGAAGTACAAAGAGAAAAATAATTTTTTTTAAATAACAAAACATCAGAGGCCTTTGGT